TTATAAAATGTTAATTTAGAATGTGCTCTACTCGTTGATTCAAACTGTAGAGTTTGAAAAGACAAAGTCTGTAGTAGCATCAAGGTTAGAAAGACGTGCAGAAGTTCATTTATACGGAAAGAAAATTATGAATAATACAGCGATATAATACATGTACACGTTTTTCAACATTAAGGCTGCTACTAACTTGGTCTTTTAGAAGTTCACAGCTTTTTATCTTTGAGTCGAACACATTCTACGCTTACTTTTTATGTACTGTATTATTTATTACACTTTATTTAATCAATTCAGAGGCAGAAGCTCCTTCCCAGTTCCTTTGAAAGTTAAATTCGAAAATTTTGAAAAATATGAATTAAAAAAAAAAATAACAGAAAGATTAACAAGTTATCACTCTCAAAGGCTCAAGAAAACTCGCTATATTTTTCTAAGTGTTCAAAATGTGAATGGTATATTGTAGTATTTTAACGTTTGTTTGACAAACCAGTGGTGAAAAGTTCTAAAATGTGAAGAACCTTGGGCGGAAAAGAATAATTCTTTGTTTCGTTGTGAGAGAAACGGGGTACAAAACTAGCGCGCAAACTTTTTCCCAAGCACATTCCAACGCTCTGGCTCATGTGACCACCCCGGTCCACACCGGCGATTCAAGATCAAATTAGGCCCGACCGCCAGGAGTTAAAACGTCAAGCCGGAGTTTTTATGACCCGGCCTTTGCCGGTTAACCGCTCATCAGGAGCAATTCTCGCGTCCGGATTTCAATTTTCGCCTCAAGTCTAACGCGGGGATAAGCGTTTTAGGGCGGTCATTCATTACAATGACTGCTTTAGCCACTGTCCAGTACCACCGCCGCCTTCGTTCTGAAAGGACGAGTAGGACGTGAATTACGACATTCGGCCACAATAGAGCACCCAGAAATGACTCGCTGGACCCGAAGACGACCTTAAAGGAGTTGTTGTGTGTGCGATTGACCAGAGACCACTGACTAGCTCTGTCGTAAGTGGACTAGTAGTACCAGTGATCGTGTCTGTTCATATCAAGTGGTCAGTTTAGGACTGTCGTAACGTCCTGTTTTTCCGCGCGGCTGCA